ATAGATTAAAATATTAAGTTCAAAATGCGCTATCAAAGGACTGGGTGGAAAATAAATAATTTTGTCCTATATCAAAATATGATTTACGAATTTAATTTAGCGATACGTTCAATGACTATCAAAGAATAACTATAATAATGTCATCAACGTATATAATGCTTATAAATTGACGAGTATCAAAAATTGTACGATTAATATATTTAATTGCTGATTAGTGTATACTGATTAGTAGGGCACGGATGTTGTAGTAGTAAAAAACTACTGAAATTGATTGCAGTATTGCACTAAAAAATACCGAAAATTGCACTTAAAATATTAAAAATTGCACTAAAAATTACAACGTTTTGTTATAATTTGTAGATGTTTTATTTTAATTCTACCAAAAAATATATTTTTTACATTTTATAATAATAAATATTAATTAATAATCTATACGTATTCTAAACATATTAAATATTTTAAATTTTAAACCTTATTGCATTGGACTATAAGTGTTTGTTTTAAATTTTCGAATTCGAACGCTCTTTGATTTGGAGCCAATAAGTTCTTATACCTCGAAAAACTTCGTTCTACGTCGGTTGATGTAAGTGGAGCATTTCTATATACTGGAAATATTTAAGTATTATCTTATCTATACGACTGTCGAGTTTCGAATATAGCTAAAATGGTTGTATAAATGATTAAATTCAACAAAATTGCAATAAAATTCCAAATATTCCAAAAATTGCAAAAAAATTGCACTTAAAACTTTTAGATTTGAATTCGTACTTACATGAAACGTATTTAAAACTTACTTAGCAATAAATTGGAAAGGTAGAAGAAAAGTTGCAAATGCAACAACATCCGTGCCCTACTGATTAGTGTAGTATAGTGTATACTATACTACACGATACATTGTATTTTAATAAAAGTATAAGCTATATACCAAATACAAATAGGCATATTGTATTTTACTATTTTACACTACGCGGCCTACTGAAAATAAAATGTTTAAACATTCAACAGAGATTTTTTCTTTAACAATTGTTTTTCTATTTTTCTCAATTCAAATAGTTTTTTTACATACTAGGGAAAATCACACCAAAAATATAGTAAATAATTTCCAAACTCCCACCACTGTAATCATTATTATCACAATAAAATATAATAAAAATGATAAAACGTATTATTAGTTTATTATCAAATATAAATGTGATTCGACTCGTGCGTAGAGGTACGCGCATTATCGCTATAGACTAGTCAATAGTCATATTATCATATAACATATTATACTCATATAGATATAGTATTATAGTTATATCGTAGTCTTATCGACACACTACTAACTTCTAACCTCCAACAAAACACGAAATCATCCATCACGGCATTACCAGCCATGAAGGTTATACATTTAGAAACTTCCAAACAATTTTTACTAGCTGAAAAAATAGATCTTTTTGGTAAAGTATCTATTTATATTATAATAATATTTGTATTATACTTATCGAATACAATATCTAAGTTTAAATATAATATTACAATATTATATTATTATTATTACAATATAACTTATGTGTAGTGCGTACAACAAATTTAATGTATAACATAATACGCATGCCCCCATAGCATAGCATTGTATATCTATAGACATATTATATGGTATAGTACCTATATAAATATAAACGATGTTGATCCCCCATCTGTATACATGGTTCCATATAATATATTAGACGAAGCAAAACACAAGCGTCTAAACGAGACGTTATCACACGAAGCCTTTCTCTCTCTCTCTCTCTCACTCTCTCACTCTTTCTCTCTCTCTACTTTTCTCCGCTGGAGTTAAACGAAAAAATTCTCATGGCATGCATTGTTGCAGTATACACATGTGCGCGTATATAGTGCATAATATTATATTATAAATTTAAGAGTTTCAAAAATAAAACGCAGTACGCATTAATATTATAATAACAATATAACGTGTGCGGCGGGTGACGACAATTACGTAGGCGTATCGATACACGAGTAAAATAGAACTTGCGATTAAAATAAGGCAGAAACTTGGTACATGAGACGAAGTTATTTAAGTGCTTATTTTTTTATTATTATTGCTATTTTTGGATTGGATCGATTTTTACAAATATACACGATTTCACAAGGCTTAAAATATTTTTTACAATATTTTCGTCAACACTATACTTGCATACATGTCATGTATCACACATAATGATTATAAGTGCAATAACCTCGACCAAAACGTATAATAATTCTCAATATATTAATATATTATTTATAAACGATAAAAAAATTATGTTTGATACCGTTTTCCTTTCTTTTTTTGTTTACAGACTAATAACTGTGGTTATATCAAATTAGGTGGTAATGTCATCGGTTAATGCATTGGTTAATGATCAAAATAATTACCGAGTTAAGTCTTTTTGTATAATAGTATAATACCAACTATATAGAAAAAACCATTCACGGCAGACGTAATGTCATAATATATACATTATTATATAGGTATACCGTATACACTATACAGTATACCTATTTATAGTATAATTTGAGTTTATAACACGAGTATATATTATAGGCATTGACATTATGAGAGATAACTAAGCGCGTGTCTATAACGGTCAATGGAGAAGACAGAAAAAATTTAAAAAGCACGATAGTCTTGCTATGGTAATCATAACTCGTAGGTAAGATAAATATTTTTTTTTAATTAAAAATAATATTGTATTGATAAAATAATCAAAAACATCTCACAAAATTAAACACAAAAACATGTTAGTTTGGCTAAAATATTTTAAATAAAAAGTATATTATATAAAGGTTAAAGGTGTTATATAAAATATTAAGAATCACTATTTTCACTTTTTCAATTTTTATTTATTTATTTACTAATGAAAATATCTTTATAAAATCTTATGTCCTCGGTTGATTTTACGTTTGAATATATATTATTCTTAAACGTATATATGTATATAATATATATATTGAAACTATAAGAAAAATAATTTGTTCTGACGTAAACAAAAACATTCACTTTATGATTAATTTCAACATCTGTCTATGTTCACCATTAGTCGAATAGTGGTTGACGTTATTGGTAAACAAAAATGTAATCAAGTTTAAGTATTAAGATTATCACATCTTAATAATTTCATAACGATGGTAAAATGTATTCAACATAAAATTGAAAAGTGTACGCAAATTTAACATTAAATTTATGAGAACTAGAAAAAGTGCAAAGATATGTTGATAAGACACGTTTTATAAAGAACCATTGAATAAAAATAAATAATACTAACGATTTCTTTCAGTAAAAATTGTTAACAAAGTTGAGCCTTTTATTGCATCAAATATTTTAGTCAAATATTTTTCCACGTAGTAAAATACTAAGCAAAGTAATTAAACAGTTATTAAGATAAAAAATAGTAATATTATGTTGTAAAATTCTAACGGTTAAATTTATTACTATAGTAGGTGATGTTTTTTTTTTTAACGCCATGACTTTTATTTTATTTTAAACCTAAAATACGTATTTAAAAAAAAAAAATTGCTGATATTACTTCGATTTGCTTCAATTTACAGCATAACAACTAACGCTGATTGTATATATTGTATTATGTATAAGTATTTTATTTTCTTATTTTTCAAATAGTTAATTAAAAACCTTCACTAATTAAATTTTAAACGCAGGTATCTAATGAAAGGTGTATAGGTGTATCGTGTATTTATTATTCATACTTTTGTTCTATACTACATAATAGTTATGGAAATTTAATTTAAGTATGCCATAGATAGAAATTGAACATCGAGGATGATTAAAAAACGCATAAAATTATTTTAAATTATCTAATGATTTCATGAATTGCGAGGAAATAAAAATGTAAGAAAAAAAAAATTTTTAAAAATATTTTACATGGTAAATGCATCAGAAAAATACGCACAAAAATTTAATATTAACAAACTATAGATAATTAATGTTATTATTATTTAAAAATTAAAACTGTTAAATTAAAGTACTAAATAGTATAATAGTGTATAAGATACTTATTAATACAATCTCATTAGTTACCTCAAATTACAAAGTGTTAAAATATCAAATATATATAATAAAAAAAAAACTTATGACCTTTTCACACACCGTAAAAAAAACGAGTTTAATATAGAACACATACATTGATATACGTGATTAATGATTATCATTACAGTTAGTACCTACAGACATACTAGGTATATTATAATTTATAATAATGATTTTTCGTACACCGTTTGTGTTGTCAAAAATGTTTATTATTGGTTTGTATCATGTGTGACAGAGCAAACTGTGCGTAAAGTAGTCGTAAATAATAATAACAATAATCGTGTTAAGACAATATTATGAAAAGAATATAAGACATAATATCACATGTTACAATGATTTTGATTTACAATTTAGAAAAAACTCAAACGGTAATCAGCTAACGGCAACTGTTCCGAAAAACCGTTCGAAAGTTATTTTCAAACTTCGACAACGCACCGCAATCGCAAAAACGATAACTTAAGTAATGACTAATGAGTAATGACTATCTCGATTCGCTGTTACGATACGAGCGGTAGATAAATATATCATATTTAATAACAAATAATAGTCCGTGTGAAGGTAATAATCATGGGCTTTTTCGACCGTCAACATTTGCGGACATCAAAGGCGAAGCGTTTACGTGAACAATAAAAATACATATAAATCGTTATCAATCACCACATCCCTTTACCGAAAAGGGGTGCGGAAGACAGAGAGAGGGTTAACACGCCCTCGCCCCAATAGAGACAGTACGACGTATAAATATATAATAACAATTATAATATCATGCTTACGCAATAATAAATGCGTGTAAGTATACACGCGAGTACTTAAATATACCTAACGTTATACGCATAACAGACATCGTCATGTATCATTATACCTGTACTCGCACCTGATCACGGACATCAATAAATTATTTTAACATCTGGGAAGAAATTATTGAACTCACTTTTTGAACGTCGCCTCGTATTCGTTGATCTGCTTGCGCGAGAATTCTTTGAACTCCAGGTACACATTTTTTGTGGACGGTCGCCTGTTGAACTGAGGCGGCACTGGTTTACCGTCTTCCAGCGCCTCGTTGATCTTCTGCCGGCGGTTGAGCACGGCCGACAGTTCGTCGCCGTCAGCGGACGAGGACCCCGACGAAACCGAAATGTTGTCCATCGCGAATCCTACAAACGAATTACGGGTTTAACGGCGACGAAAAGCTAGGTGTTGTCGGTCGTCCCGTAAAGCTTCTGCTTCAAGGCAAACGGAACCGCGTATTATGTAGTGTGTTCGGGTGCAATATTAGCGATGATCACGAAACGCAATGCAAAACGACGGTTCAAGACGTATTTTAATATTCACGGCGTCCGATGTTATGCGATTAAATTCGTTAAAATAATTATCGTAAAATCGTGAATGACGTGACGCGCACTGCTTAGATGTTGATCGTCCGACAGTCGTTCGCGGAGTATTCGCCGAGTGTGCGCCCGGGTAAATCGTTTTATTTTATCGGCATTCAGCGGCTCGGTCGCCGGCAGCGTGTGCGTGTGTGTTTGTGTGTGGTAGTGGTCCGCCGCTCGTTCGCCCCGTCACGGACGTTTTTGCGCCGCCGGTTGCTGTACGGCGATTTATGTGCGCGTGCGCGCATCGTGGCAGCGGCGACGTCTCGCGCGTTCAGTCGATACGGTTTTCTCGTACGCCCTCTGCTGCCGCCCCCGTCGTTAATGCCCAAGTCAAATTTTGAACTATTGCAAGAACGAACCGTTGTACAGTGTACATTACCACGTCAATACTCAATAATGATATTTATTTGTACGCACAATTAAATATTTTATATAATATATTATATAGGTAATGTTTAAATTGTATATATGTAGATTATTCATTATTATGTAACGCGCGAGCGATATCGATTATTGCCGCCCGTAAGACGCGCCGATAACCGATGGCGAGGTTTTTTACCGATACCTAGTTTTGCAAATACGGCACATTACACTATTAAATCACGCTATAGCGTGTTTTTGAACATATACGTTTAATGCATTGTTTGGACTCGGGGTGGTCCAGAAAGTCCTGATCGACATTGAACGTAAAACGTGTTATGTTGATGCTTATATGATTACTGACCATTATATTATGTATGTATATAAGTATATTCATTTGTTCGGTTAGTATCTCCCTCTGCAGCTGAGACTAGTTTAATTTAGAACATGTAACTATATGTCTATATAGTACTTACATAATATACCTAATGACATCGACATGCATTTAATTTATAAATACATTAAGCTGTTAAATATCGATTGGTAGTTTCCAGAACACCCTAAACTACATTGCGTAAACAATATGATGCGTACAACAAACAAACGTCGAAATACTATGTAAATATTTACATTTTTTAGTCGGTATACGAGTGGGTGGTCAAAGACTCGAATTTCATAACTTATTCTTAGTCATATAGGTGATCACTGATCCGTATAAGTTAATTGTGCATGATATTTTATTATTTAAATTAATCATCGATGTATGCAACCAGTGCCGGATCTAACATTTTTTTAACCCGGGGCAAAATATGAAATTGGCGCCCTTCTATATCAATAACCTTTTTTTTTTTACTTATTACATAATTAAAAATTTGCGCCCCTTTATGACTAGTATCTGGGGCACGTGCCCTGGATTGCCCCCCCTAGATCCGGTGCTGCGGTGCTGTATGCAATCTAAGTAACTGTGTATAGTTGATGCATTATTTTGAATTTCTGATTCGCAGAACTAATCTCCTGGTTAATATTTATTAATGTTTTCCAATTACCATTTATAAATACATTAAATGTATTATATTTAATACTTTAATTTCCATAAATTTCAACAAACAAAACTCTCCAATTCTTTATTGGAGTTATTTTGAATTTGTAAACTAGATTTTTACAACATTTTTATAACATCCAAATAAACCAAAACTACTTATTATAAATATAGTTAAACTTTTAAAAATGATTATATATTTTATTTCAATTTCATAATTTATTTAAAAAAGAATAATTATAATTAATAAGTATTAATTAATAATAATAATAAATAATAACCCAGTTTTTAATATTACTTATAAAAAGATTTTAAAAGTCGTTAACACGTGCATTGCAAATATTGTTACAATAGATAAAACAAACAAAAAATTAATATTGAATGAAATTATAAAATTATTTTATATGTTAATAGTTAGGTATAACTTAAAATATTTAAATTTTATGTTTTTTCTTTTTTTTATACATGATACTTGAAATATGTCTTTAATAGGTTTATTTGGAGTAGGTAGTTATAATACAACTATTATTTATAAAAATAATAAAACAACTTTCTGACAATTTAATAAAAATATCATGCACCAATAGAACTTAAATATCATACAAGTACTTCTGATTGTGTGATTGGAATCTGAAAAAAATATTTTTGCTTCATTAATAAAATGTCAATAGTACCTAAAGGTATATTATAACCTTATAGCCTATTAGTACCCATTGTCTACCAGTTTTAATTGCTCAATGGTATTACAAATATATAATTTTTTTATACGTTTATATGAAAATAAATCAAAAGTGTTATCGATTTATATGTTTAAATTTTTAATAACCACAAAATCCAAATTTTGTACCGTGTAACAAAAAAAAACTGAGAAAAAAATACAATACTCGCCTTAAACGTAGTAAAATATATTAATATCTATAGAAATAACTATTATTGATGAAGTCCATAAATGGTTTTTATACATAGTCTACACTATAATGGTATTAACAAGGCTGTCCATTCGTGTATATTCTTTTATTTTTTTTTTTTCTATATGATATGGCTATTCTGTGGCCTGGATATATCGAGAATAATCAAAAACATCATATAAGACATTTTTTTCAGATATTTCTATTTCTCAAACATATTTTTCTTATATTTTACATTATTTAATTGTTTTATTTTCATTCGCTACTCATATGCATTATACATGTATAAAATAAACACAGAAAACCGTATAATGGACATTGCAATTCGCAGGTAGGTCAGCGAAACCAGTACGAAAAAAACTACAGGGCGTTATAACATAGCCAGTTATCAATTTTTAAAATGCATACACCGTGACCGTGCCTAGAAATAAGGTTTTGAATTTTAACGGTCCATCGCACATAATATAGTCACCACTCGCCACGTTTACTCTGAAGTATATCATTATTATGCATCCATTTAAAGGATGGCTGGTTAGGTGGTAACTAGAAGTAACAATCTTAATTATTGCTATTATCTTAATAATACGGAGTGCAGTGCCTATATTATATGCAGTGACGCAGTGAAGGTTGTTTTTGAGACTTGTGCACCTCAACCATAATCGATTGGATTATAATTAGGAGGGATGGTCGAATACGTAAAACGTAAAACTGTAAATCTGACTCGATAGGTATACTAGATACTTTTATAACTATGGCCCATAGCCCATAATATAACTATCATATACTAAAATAAATTATATTATGCTTCTAAGTTCTAGCCTATTTATATAATTATAAGTAACTATAAATCTATATATACCTATATTCAGTATCAACAAAGTATTACATGTACAATGTACATAGCCCATTTAGTTCACATTTAACACACAAACCGTAGGCTTAACATTTTCGGAAGCATGATAATTTTGAAATTTTTATTATGTTTAAGTTTTATGCAATTACTGTAGTCTAAATGAGAGCGATTGTGTGCAACTTTGGCGCCAATGCTAGAAAACCGTACGCTATTTACGCGCTAAATATCCTGTTCGTATGTATTATAATAATTGTTTATGGAGTTCGCTCTACTTATATATTTATGTTATTTACCTACTGTGAAACAAAATTAATGAATTATAGAAAAACGTATCGTAATCAGTGCTTATTCTGCTTATATGCATGTATTGTCCTACACGAGGTGTATACATTATTCCATCGGTGCGCGGCGAACAAACGTTATATATTATACTATATGCATACTACACATAATGTTATATTTTCATACCTGACATACCTTATATGATATAAGAAAACTATTGAATTATACGTTTATATCTATAACCTACAACCTACTATACGTACAGTATATAATAATAATATATTTACTATGAAACGCAGACACATGTGTCACAAGGATGAATTTAAATATTTATTTTTACTAAGCCAATATGAGCACTTACAGTATAGTGAAATTCAAGTACATAGAACAAAATTTCAGCATGTATATATTATTATCATGTATTTCAATGCTCGCATATACGGATGATACACACACTGAGCTGCAATATCGAATTGCACTACAATCTCATCGGCACATATACTGGAATAAACAAGCGTTATGCGTATACGACATACATGATCTTTGAAGTAAAAAATAAGAATAATACCTAATACCTATTGCGAGATATATAAGTATATACGTTATATCTAATAGTAATATAATTAGTGATATTGTAACGTTACGCTTTGACATATTGTCTGGGGTGCAAACCGGAAGGTGTACCTACCATGCGTGGCATAGACACGTACAAGGAAACGTATATTTAATATTATGAATATCCGTGCACGGCTTGGCATCAAAGTGGGATTAGCTTTGTTGACAGACCCTGAAATTTCGAGTTAATAGATAAATATACTTTAAGCATATACATAATAACTGCCGCAACCGAAATTACACTGTAGGAAATTATGTTTGTTATCTTATATCCTAGGGACAACACGAAATGACGTTATATCAATTGTAAAAATATTAAACCAATATCAATTTATCAGATATTGCATGTTTGTCGTCACACGGCGGTAACTCCACAAAAAATAACACTCCGTTGAATAAGAAGAACAGTTTGTCGGTTTTTAAAAAAGAGCACATGCATGTATAGAATATAAAACACCACCGTGAAATAAACGCAATTGTTTTTTATTATACCCATATAAAAAATAAAATATTGATTATAATATTATACAGATTTAACTGATTTAAGGGAAAAGCGCCTTTAAAAAATGATTATTGGCCGTTTTAACCGAAACCTCATGGAACGGGTGTCATCTCACGTCACGTTTTAGGCAAATGCGAATAAAAAAACCGGCTATAGAATCTAGACGTCGAATATCGGCTCGTCTTACCCGCCAACGCGGTCGTGTCATCATCAAAAATCTTAAGACTATGGTCACATTTCAATAGCGGTTAGTAGTATGTAGGTGATGAGAAAATGCTTACCAAAAAGATAGTACTAATCTTATGATAAAAATATCTCTAAAACTATATGTTTAGTTATTATAAAATTATTGTTTCAGGAATAAAACTAATCATAGTATAATACACTAAGATTCATAATTTTAATATACCTACTTGTATATATATAGTACATTAGTATCTATTGGTTATATATGTGGTTTATTAAATTAAAATTATCTATTAGATATACAAATAGTTTAAAATGTAAACTACTCCAAATAATTTTTTTAAAACGTGTAAGGTATAAAAAAAATGTATTTAACTGAGCAAATTTCAAATCAAAACTTTTAGTTAATAG